CTGTGGATCATTTTGCATGCAGCCAATGGGAATTTCCACCACTGTTCCAGCTTTTATCTTACACCCCAACACTGTGCAATCTTTGCCAGCTTCACGAGCAAACCTGAGAGTAAGGGATATTATACAATATTATTATAATGCTATACATGGAGTATCATTACTGCTATATCAGTCCAGGGAAGAAACAATTAATGACTTGCGTAAAAGGGGTAATGCAACAGCTTTCAGGGAACTTCAGGTGACATTTGAGGTCAGTTTGAGATAATTATACCTTTCTGCTGACCTGATTCTTATGTACTTAAGGCTGATTTAGAATTTTCTTTGACTTCAAGGGAGAGACCTGAACTGACAAATACACAGGCCTTATCTCAGCTGGTACACATTTTACCTAGTGCCCCTTATGGGTGTCACCTTATTTTACACAACCCCAAAGTGGGGATGTTTATTGGTAATACCGTTTAAATGTGTATACATGCTTTACCAACATTCCCCTTTATAGTGATAAATAATGGAACTGAAAATATTTCTGTAAAACGTTATCATATTTACTAAACAATTACATAGTTATTATCAATTTACTTTGACAGGCAGAAGTCACCCTCCCCCAATAGGCCAGTAAGAAGCCCCCCATCCCACCCTGCACCCATGGGCTGGCCAGATGATCCAGCAGTTGGGAAATTATACAGCAGGATACAAGACTGCCAACTACAGCACGACACAAAAAAAAAAAAATAAATAAATAAAAGACAGGTATGTTGCTGAATCAGAATTTTTTTAATTTACTCTAAATCATGGTATACATAATGCCAAGTTTGCAGTCAAATCCAGGATGTGTTTCTCACCAAACAGTGCTTACTTTTCATGCTGATGACTAATCACTGTTTAGTGCAAAACGCACCCAACATTTGGCTGAGATCTCGCCATTAGGTATGCCATGATTTGTAATAAAAGCCATATTAAAAGCAAATCTTAATTCAGAGATGCCAGAACATCTCTCCGAGTGCTAATAAGCTTTAACAGCCCAGCAACGTTCATTATAAGAATAGTTAACCCTTAATTACACACGATTGTGCTGCATTATTTATTTTTACGTAGAGGTAAAATGTAAACCTTCCTGTATAATACAGATCTCTTTACAGAAGCATTATAGAATGATTAATCCCACTGAAAAGCAATATTAGAGTTACATGTGAAAATGTGAAATATGGTGGAGAGTCACCCACTACATCCTTATAGCCATTGAGAGATTTGCCTGCAATGATATCTGGCTCTCCTCATATACTAATTTTAGTTCCAGAGACCACCCCCCCCCCTCCAAAAAAAAAAAAAAGAAAACCTAGAACCTTCCTTTGGAATGAGAAAATACCTGAATGCGGGAGGGTACATGCGCAGGGATTCAGAAATCACCATGTCCATATATGGCAAATCATGAACTGTGTTGTAGTCTGCGCCATCCTATGGAGAAAACAACAGGAACGTCAGAGTTTTGTCATGGAAAAGCTCCCAACACTAACACAGCAAAAAGAATACCCCCTAAAGAAGAAAACCAATTGAGTAGTTCTAGTGGTCACTTTCTGCCCAAAAAACCTGCTTTAGCCTAAGAGGTGAGTCTGCCAATTTCTGGGTCATTTCTTTGTTGCAGACTAACTCATGGCTGCATCTGGGCTATAAACCAACAGATCTGGAAGGACACTTGGATAAATGGTTCTATAAAGGGATGTGCATGACAAAAAATTCATTCCATTTCAGATTTTTTTGTTAAGTTAATTATTTCATTTCCCCATATTTGATATATTTGAATGATTTTTTTCAGAATTCGTTTAGTATATTCCTTGTTTTGAATCGATTTGTACTTTCAGAAGTTATTTCGGTAGATTTGGATTCATCCGTTATGTTTCCAGTGCAACTTTGCATTGCGACTTGCTTGTGACTTTGATGCGACTTGCTTGCAACTTCAATGCGACTTTGCTGCTTTATTGAGACTTGCTTGCGATTTTGATGTTTTGCGACTTTGGCCAAACAATACAGTGTGACACATATTATTGAACTTACAAAACCTCTAAAGAAGCAAACAAATGAATACAAATTAAATTGTTACTTTACTTATAATTTACTTCAGATTCACTGAAATTCATTACTAATGTGGTTTGGAGATTAGGATACAATTTTGCTCGAATTCCGATTCGTAAATTTGTAAAAAATGAATTGCATGTGTCTAGTTCTATATTGAAAGTGGAACTAAAGTTACATACGCAGCTAAGTTTACATCAGACACAGTGCTTGTGTGCCAGGATGATTGAACTTCCAAGCATAATTGGGAGTCTTGTCATCTTGCACCAGCCAATCAAGATCGCCAAAGACCTGGCACCAAAAGAAGCCAGGAAAAAGATTGTGGTGCTTCGAAGGGACTTTGTGGGCATTGACCCATTCGTTTGAGACTTTCTATTGAAGAATTTTGTTCTGCTTTGAGCTGTATCTGTTCTATAAAACTTTCAGCTCTGGATGTACAGCTGGGTAAACGGTTCTATTTTTAGGATGTACCTGGGCTATAACCTAACAGTTCTGGATGGACAGTTGGATAAATATTTTTTTTATTTATGTAGGCTGTATCTGTGCTAAATACCAGAGTGTTCAAAATGGACAATTGGCTGTTGGGTCATAAAGGAATAAATTGCATTGTTCTATCTCTTGTCTATAATAGAAAACAAGCTTTTTGTGTCTTAGATTTATAATAGAAGTGTTGAAAGACAGGGTTCACCTCTTTGCTACTCACATGTGTTTCAGAAAACTCATCCACCTCTTTAAGCAGCTTCTCCTGGCAATCAGGGTGGGTGGCCAGCAGGTAGGTGGTGAAGGACAGAAGGCTGCAGGTTGTCTCGTATCCAGCGATTAGGAAGATGAAGGCTTGGCCCAGTATCTCATCCTCATCTAGCTTTTTTGTCAATTTCTTTGCAGTCTCCTCTCTCCCCTTGTGTGGAGCTGACAGATCAGCTTGGTTCACAATGTCAAAGTGATCCACAGAAAAGAGTGCCGCTGCATCCCGGGCATCCAGCATGAGCTGCAGGAAATCGCGGCGCCTCTGGACAGATGGGAAACAGAGTTGCCAGTTTAATGTTATTATACCATTACATGCAAGTAGTGTGAAACACTGAACAACTGATCAGAGTAATAAGAAGCAAGACAAAATAAAACATTCAATCAAGTACAAAAACATAGTAATGCTTGCTATAAATGGATTGTAAACTTGGGCGGTCAGAAACTGCTCCTGAGTCCTGCCAAGCACCCCCAAAATACACAGAACCTGAATGAGTGTTATGGATGACTCAAAACATGAGCTTTTGCTAAGCCTTTGGTGGAACGAGATGCTTTGAAATTATTAACTTGTCATGTTCTGTTTAAAGGGATGATATCATATACCTCATTATCCTTAACATAAAATAATGGTTTAAGTCTACAGTCACCAGCCACTTTATTAGGTACACCTGTTCAATTGCTTGGTAGCACAAATTGCTAATCAGCCAATCACATGGCAGAAACTCAATGTATCTAGGCATCTAGACATGATGAAGACGACTTGCTGAAGTTCAAACCAAGCATCAGAATGAGGAAGGAGGAGGATTTAGGTTACTTTGAACGTGGCATGGTAGTTGGTGCCAGACGGGCTGGTCTGAGTATTTCAAAAAATGCTGATCTACTGGGATTTTTACGCACAACCATCTGTAGGGATTACAGAGAATGGTCTGAAAAAGAGAAAATATCCAGTGAGCTGTGATTATGTGGACGAAAATGCATTGTGGATATCAAAGGTCAGAGGAGAATGGGCAGACTGGTTCAAGATGACAGAAAGGAAACAGTAACTCATGTCAATATGGACCAAAATCTCTGAGGAATGTTTCCAATACAGCAGAAGAAGAAGAAAAGAACAAGCAGTCACGTGGTCATGTATACAGAGAATTAAAAAAAAAATGTAAAATATATATTATATATATATATATATATATATATATATATATATATATATATATATATATATATATATATATACACATATACATACATACACACACACACACACACACACACACACACACACACACACACAGTTTATGTATGCACACTGATAAGCCATTACATTATGACCACTCTCCTAATATTGAGTTGGTCCCCCTTTTGCAACCTGCAACCAAAACAGCCCTGACCCATCAAGGCATGGAATCCAAAGTAGCTTCCAGATGAATGGCAGGACCCAAGGATTCTTGGCAGAACATTGCCCAAAGCATCACACTGCCTCTGCCAGCTTGCATTCTTCCCATACTGCATCCTTGTGCCATCTCTTTTGCAGGTGACACACCCACCTGGTCACCCACAAGAAAATGTTATTTATCAGACTGGGCCACCTTCTTCCATAGATCCATGGTCCACTGCTGATGCTTACTTACCCCTGATCGGTCTGCAGCTATGCAGCCCAATATGTCGCAAAACTGCAATATATTGTGCGACACCATTCTATCAGCAACTGACATCTTTCTAACTGTATGTTCCCACACTTTTTCAGCAGTTTGAGCTACAGTAGTCCTATTGCATAAGACTTCATGAACCAGCCTTCACTCACCACATGTACCAATGAGCTTGGCACTCGCCACATGTACCATGACACTGTCACCTGTTCACCAGTTTTCCTTCCCTGGACCACTTTTGTCCTGACCACTGCAGATTGGGAACATCCCACAACGGCTAAAGTCAGATGCACTGACCAAGTGTCTAAGCCATTACAATTAGGCTCTTTGTCAAAGTTGCTCAAATCTCTACACTTGCCTAATTTTTTGCTTTCAACACAGCAACTTCAGGGAGAACATGATCATAATGGTATGGTTGATTGGGGTGTACACACACACACACACACACACACCCCAAAAGTATTGGGACACCCCTCCAAATTATTGGATTCAAGTGTTCCAATCACCTCCATGGCCACTGTTGTAAAAAACAAATATCTAGGCATGCAGACTGCTTCTACAAACATTTGTGAAAGAATAGGAGCTCAGTGAATTCAAGCATGGTACTGTGATAGATTGCCACCTGTGCAATAAGTCCATCTGTGAAATTTCCTTGCTACTAAATCTTCCACGATCAACTGTTAATGGTATAACAAAGTGGAAGCAACTGAGATCAACAGCAACTCAGCCACCAAGTGGTAGGCCAAGTAAAATGACAGAGCGGGGTCAGCGTATGCTGAAACGCAGAGAAGTCGCTAATTGTCTGCAGAGTCAATAGCTAAAGACCTCCAAACTTCGTGTGGCCTTCAGGTTACCACAACAACAGTGAGTAGAGAGCTTCAAGGAATGTATTTCCATGGCCAGGCAGCTGCATCCAAGCCTTACATCACTAAGTGCAATGCAAAATGTTGGATGCCGTGGTGTAAAGCACGCCGGACTCTAGAGCAGTGGAGACGTGTTCTCTGGAGTGATGAATCACGCTTCTCTGTCTGGCAATCAGATGGACATGTCTGGGTTTGGCAAATGCCAGGAGAACTGTACTTGCCTGACTGCATTGTGCCAAGTGTAAAGTTTGGTGGAGAAGGGATTATGATGTGTGGTTGTTTTTCAGGGGTTGGGCTTGGCCCCTGAATTCCAGTGAAGGGAACTCTTCAGGAGTCAGCATACCAAGACATTTAGGACAAATTCATGCTCCCAACTTTGTGAGAACAGTTTGGGGATGGCCCTTTACTGTTCCAACATGACTGCATACCAATGCACAAAGCAAGGGAGATAAATTCATGGATGAGCGAGTGTGGGGTGGAGGAACTTGACTGGCCTGCACAGAGTCCTGACCTCAACCCGATAAAACACCTTTGGGATGAATTAGAGGGGGGACTGCAAGCCAGATCTTCTCATCCGACATCAGTGCCTGACCTCACAAATGTGCTTCTGGAAGAATGGTCAAACATTCCCATAGATACACTCCGAAACCTTGTGGACAGCCTTCCCAGAAGAGATGAAGCTGTTATAGCTGCAAAGGGTGGGCCACCTCAATATTGAACCCTAAGGACTAAGACTGTGATGCCATTAAAGTTCATGTGCGTGTAAAGGCAGGTGTCCCAATGCGTTTGGCAATATAGTGTGTGTATATATATATATATATATATATATATATATATATATATATATATATATACTGTATATACATAGATAGATAGATAGATAGAATTATAGAAAATATTTGTCATGTTACCCATAATTTTTCAGCTCTCCATAAATAAACCTACTTCTTCCTTTTTTTTAGCGCAAGCTAAAGCTGGACAGACATGGATGTAAATTTCGTCAGTTCAGCAGAGACATGGCGAATGTCAACCTGTGTGCAGCCCTCCCTGTTCGATATTAATAGATTGACTTCTGTTGAACAGTACTGTTGTTCTGACAGTGGAGGAGTCCCCGCTGTCTGAATACAATGGCATAGTGGGGAGGATTCCTCCATCCACTTTGCTTGTGTGGATGGGAAAACCATTCTTTTTTTTATTCAGCCTGGCGATGAACAAATAAAAGAACACAAAGCATGTATACCCAGCTTATGACTCTTCTAAAACATGTCAGGTGGTAAAACCCCAAATCTATTTATCATACAAGGTGAAAAGCAAACAGATTTCAGCTTACTAATCCCCATAATAAAATCAGTTATCACTTATGAGTAGTTTGGTGCATCACAAAAGCAGACTGCGATCAGTAATGAGACGCCGGATACCTCATTAGCTGGCTGCTGGTCTCGCAGGGCGATCATTTCCCTGATAGTCTTGCGGAAGAAGCTGTTTATCTGGTCACGGTTCTTGTTGGGAAGGCGACGGATGATAGGGATCATTATGAAGGGGAATGCCACTGGGGGAACCAGAAAAGAGATGGAGACTTATTACAGTGAAGGATGGAATTAATATTGAGTGTTTTACTCATTGAGATTAGCAAGTATATATCTAAGATATGGTAGGTCCTGACCACTGCAGATCGGGAACATCCCTCAACAGCTGCAGTCAGATGCTCTGACCAAGTGTCTAAGCCATTACAATTAGGCTCTTAGTCAAAGCTACTCAAATCTCTATGCTTGCCCATTTTTTTCTGATTTCAACCTATCAACTTCAGGGAGAACATGTACATTTGCTGCCTAATATATCCAACCCACTTTTCAGCTCTCCATAAATACACCTATTCCTTCTTTGTTTTAGCTCAGACTGAAGCTGGGTAGACATGGATGTAAATTTGGTCGGTTCAGCAGGGACAAGACGAATGTCACCCTGTGACAGAAGTAAACAACAGAGTGATGTTTGGTTTGCTCTGTGTTCTGTGTGTTTTACAAACTATTGCCATGTTTTTTAATACCATTTTGTTTACATTTTTTCTCCTGCAGCCTTTTTTGCAACCACTTCATGTTGATGTGCACTCCTCTGATGGCTGCATAGCATTTCTAAGGACGGGTTTTCTGATGGTGACAACAGTGGCCCCATGTGTCAGGGTGACAACGTATAAGCACATCTAAGAGACAAAACCTTGCCACCCTATAACAGTGCCTGATCATGCTGCAGATTTAAAAAGACTGAAAATAACATAAGTTTATTAAAGTCTATAGGAGATTTTGATGATTGGGCTTATATCTAGTTAAATAGGGGACATCTATAAAATATGACCATAAAATAAAACATTATCTGCAATTGTCCTGACTTATTCTCAACTGTATTGCATTAGCTGCCCTCTTATTACAACAAATATTTACTAGGAACTTCAAGCATACGTTATATTATATCTAAAGTACCCCCTAAATTATGCACACACATCACCAATACCTTCTAAACAGTTGTCAAAGCTTTCTAAACAGTCCCTTTTACTTTTTAAACAAGTGTAACAATTATGGTTTGTTTAAAATAAGCTTTACTATTTCAAAAATAAATTAGCGTTTTTCAAAAATAAATTAGTGTTGCGCTACTCACAACATTTGCACATATAATGATGGTTCAAAAATATATAAAAGAAACAGTGCCTAATAGTGCAAACAAATATGTCCTCTATTCAGGTTATGGTGACAACTTCAAATTTTAGATTTCCACCAAAACAAATAGAGTCAATCTCTCCCCAGCAGGGACACAGACAGCAATATAAACCTAACTTTAACCACCTCGAGACCGGACACTTTAACCCTATGGCTGCCTTGTCCATTTTTCAGATTTCAGCACTGTCACAGTTTAAATGACAGTTACTAAGTCATGCAACACTGTACTCTAATGACATTTTAACATTTTTGGAGACAGATAGAGCTTTCTTTTGGTGGTAATTTAACCACTACTGTTTTTTTTTTATTATTTGCTATATAAACCAAACATTTTTGAAGGCCCTGGAGCATCAGAACAGTGGAAACACCCACAAAATAACCATATATGCAGAGTAACCACTCCAAGGTATTTATTAAGAAGCATGGTGAGTCTTTTGAAGACTTAATTTTTTACACAAAGTTAATATATTTCTCACACACAGCATGGGCATGCCTAGAATTACACCCAAAAACACATTCTGCTATTCCTCCTGAAGATGGCGATACCATACGTGTGAGACATTTTCAGTGTTTGTAGTTATTATGTACAGGACAATGTATCTTGTGTATCACACAAATCAACCAAATGTATCAAAACCAATGTACTGTAATCGTCGCCTCTGTACAACTGTTCAGGGAATATAGCTCAGTGTAACCTCACCTATAGCAGTCCCTGTTCCTATAGGCCAGTGTTTCTCAACTCCAGTCCTCATGGACCCCCAACAGGTCATGTTTTCAGGATTTCCCTCAGATGAAACAGCTGTGGTAATTACTAAGGCAGTGAAACTGATCAAATCACCTGTGCAAAATAATGGAAATCCTGAAAAAACATGACCTGTTGGGGGTCCATGAGGACTGGAGTTGAGAAACACTGCTATAGGCCAAGCAAGCCTAGCCTACTGGTACGTGGCTGCCCCCGGAAATGCCATGTACCATCCAAAAAGTTCCTGTGGTTCCAGGAGTGCAGTTGTCTGCTGAGGCTGGCTGGGACTGGTGTCTTGTAGGAACATAAAAGTAAATCTGACATGCAGAAGGGTCATTTCATGCCGCAGGCAGAAACATGGTCAGCAAACAGGCAAAGGATCAGCCAAACCAGCAGGCAAAAATGTGGCCAATAAACAGGCCTGGTGTGGCGGTGATCAGGAACACTGTTGCTGGCTGCACTGGTATGGTGAATACGGATTGCTTTTCAGAGAACTTTGCACATGTGAATAAATCCTTATGGTGATGCTATGACTGGTGGGGTGGTGAACAGGGGCACTGGGACTGGTCTGGCAGTGATCAAGGACACTGGGACTAGTATGGAAGTGATCAGAGACACTGGGGTTAGTGTGATGGTGATCAGGGACAATAGGACTACTGGCGTGGCAGTGAGCAGGGACACAGTGAGTGATAAGAACCACTGACTGGTGACAGTATGTTAAAAAAATTAGCAAAAAGAAAAGAAAGAAATATATATATGTATTTACAAACTGTCACCAGAGCAGCACAGTGTCACCATAGTGACACTGTACTGCTCTCAAGGAGGGGGGGGGGGGGGGGGTGAGCTGTGATTGGTCCTGTACCATGTGATCACTGTGACCAGTTACAAAGATCACCACAGTAAGCATTGGTAACATGAATGACAGCAATTGTTAACTATTGATAATGTGATTGTTATGATTGGTCACAGTGATCACAAGGTACCAGGCCAAATCACAGCGGCCTGGTGCCCCAATCATATTTTCTCTCTGTCAAGTGGATGGACAGTCACAGATTGCAGCACTACACAGCCCTGAAGTCACGCATGAGCGCTCGTTCTGGATGTAGGTGTATATCCTCCCAGAACAACGCTTGTCCTACCCATCTGTTTATGTACAGTGGCTGGGCAGGAAGTGGTTAAGGAATTACACATGTTTTCCCATACCAGAAAAAAGGGCCAATGTACTGTGATTATTTGTTTTAATAAGTAACCCTTTTTTATAGTGAGAGCTTTTTGCAAATCATATTCAATATGCAGTCACATCAGAAGGCAGTGGGTGGAGCCTCACACTTCTCTCCTCTCCTGCAGATCTTTGCAAGGCAAGAAGACTGAGAGAAAGACCCTCTTTATATAGAGAGCAGTAGGTGGGCTTGGCTGATCTCTCTTGAAGTTGAAAGGTATTTGTCTTCCATCCTCCCCTTCATAACTCACGCGTCAGTAGGACAATAGGCTTGAAGGGGGTGAAGAGTTCCAGAAACCTTTTGCTGTTCTGTACCAGCGGATGATCCGGATTCTTCTGCGAGTCCACTTTAGTACCAAAAGCAACACTGGCAACAATGTCCATTGTATAGCAGGCATAACATCTACAGAGAAAGAAATTTTTTTATTTAATTTGTAGCAGTCTCAAAGA